AACCAAAGTAAAGCAAAGCAAAGCAAATCGCATGGCGGCGACGGGTTGCGCGGGCGGCGACGGGCGGGTTTCGCGACGACGGGCGGCGACGGCGACGGGCGGCGCGGGCGGCGACGGGCGGGGCTCGCGGCGACGGGCGGCGCGGGCGGCGACGGGCGAGTTTCGCGGCGACGGGCGGCGACGGGCGGCGACGGGCGGCGCGGGCGGCGCGGGCGGCAATGGCCCAGAGATGGCCAACGCAAGTAACAGCCCCGAAGCGCATGCACCTGCGTGGGGAATTTCCCTTCAGCAGGCGCCGCGTTTCTATTCGTTCGTCATCGCCATCGCCCACGGGCGCTCTGGCTTGCCCCGCCGACGGTTCCCCGAGCGTCGGCGCTCGGGGATCGCTGCCAGATCCCAGCGCCGCTGCAACGGTTCCGGGGGGCGCGCAAGTCTTGGAGCGCCGAAAATAGCGTGAAAAAAGCAGCGCTGGGGCAAGAATCTCGGGGCCAGCGACTCGACGAGCGCGGGTCGTCGGGAGGGGGCGTAATTGCGCGCGTCGCGAATGAGCGGTGCGTCGCCTGCTTGCGCGACCGCTATTGCACGCGGAGCCTTCGTCGGACAGGACATCGACCCCCCTCGCGGTCATCACGTTCACCTCCTTCGCAGAGCAATCGCACTTGCAAGACTTGAGCATCGTGACTAATACTCCACTCGCGCTACCACCACTCCGCATGACCATCGCCGCGACCCGCCCTCTTCCCGCGCGGCCGACAGCCAGGCCCCTTTTCTGGTCACGATTTCAAACCACATAGGTTGCATCACATAGGTTCATGTTTCAAATCGATTAGGTTCACCTCCGTTGTCCGCTTTGCCATTTACGCATGATTCTGCCCCAATCGCCCATCCGAAGCATGAATTCACACCACCCCAGCCCAAGCGGCATGGACTCCCCCCCCCCGCCATCCTTCGCAACCGATTTTATGCGCGCGCGCTCGGTTAGCAAAAACCAGCAGTTTTGAAGAACCCCTTTGCGCAAACATTGACGAAGTGCACACGCGCGCGCGTCGTCGCGCGTGCATGCCGAAGCCCTTCCGGGACCTTAAAAAAATCCGGGTTCCGCCAGGACTTCAAAACCGCGAGTCCAAACATCAGTTGTGGTAGTGTATAGATATATGTAAACAATAAAAGCGTTTCTTTCTTCATTCTCAATATTCAGATCTACATGTAAAAGCCTCATGGTTGTGGCACGCGGTTTCTCGACAACAAATTGTACGCGTTCTTGCGAATCTGTAGGCAAACCGTAGGTGTTTCAACATTGACATAACATGCTAGCAAGCGGGCTTCGCGCGCGCGCACGTCGAAATCGCCCGAACGCCCTCGCGCGCGATGTCGCGATAATCCTCTTCTTTTCATATAGATATATATGAAGAGAGAGAAGAGAGAGAGAGAGAGAGAGAGAGAGAGAGAGAGAGAGAGAGAGAGAGAGAGAGAGAGAGGGGGAGAGAGAAGAGAGAGAGCGAGAGAGAGGATACTGAACAAAAAAGCGAAGTGCACGCGCGCATGCCGAAACCAGCAACGCTTTGAGTTGTCGCGTTGAGGGCAGAGCCGGGCGCCCTGGCGCCGCGTAGAAAAGAACACATAAAACATATAGATTCGCAGCAACAGTTTTCAAGAAAGCCTGCGCTCGCGCTCTTGCGAGTCCGTGACAAAACCATCGGTTGCTCAACGTTCGCATGGAATTCTGCCAAGCGGGCTTCTCGCCCCGCCTGCCGAAATCATTTGAACGCCCTTGCGCGCGTGCTGGGGGGGGGGGGGCGCGATCCGTGTCAAATCATGCCACGCGGGCCACTCTTGCGCGCCGGCCGCGCGCGCAAGTCGAATTCCTTCCAAGACCTTCATCGCCGACGCGGGGGCGCCAACCTCGTCGTCGGCGCCGTCAGCGGCCGCGCCGCCGTCGCTGCCAGCATCGTCACCAGCATCGCTACTATCATCATCGCGTCTACCGTTGCCGACGTTGCCATGATACCGCCCCCGTCCAAGTCGCCGACTCGCGTTGAAATGCCTGCTCGGATGTGCCCAGCGGTCGGCGCCACGGCGGCCGCGTCGGTCGCGCCAAACTAGCTGGCCGCTGCGCGCGCGCGCGGGCTGGCGCGGCCGCAGGGATGCCAGCGCCAAGCATTCATTGCAGTCGCCGCCGCATGGGTTTGGCGGACCAAGGTGCGGGTGGGCGGTCGGGACGTTTGCAAGTGCACCGCATAGGCTGCCGCGAAATTAGATTATACCCCCGCCCACCCCGGGGTTGCCCCACGCTTTTGCATTGCAATTTGCAAACGGTGCTGCTCCATTTTCCTTGCTAAATTTGGATCCGTACCATCCCAGCCAAACTGGTATCGAGCACCGTCATCGTCTGCCACCATTATTATGCGCGCGTAGCATTGCATCACAAATCGCCAGGTTCCAAGAGTCCCTTGCAACAGTAGGACGACGTGCACTCGCGCGCGCGTCGTCGCGCGCGCATGCCGGAATCGTTCAGAACATTGGGTTTCGCAAGGGTTTCAGAAACGAGTGCCCCGAAACCATATGTAACACATGGCTTCGCAACAACAGCTTTCAAACAAAAAAAAAAAAACAAAAAAAAGCTTGCACTCGCGCTCTTGCTAAACCGTGAGGAGACCAGTCTTTCAACATTCTCACAATTTGCAACCAAACAGGCTTCGCACGCGCACGTCGAAATCGCCGGAACGCCCTTGCGCGGGCGTGGTCGCAGGAGCCCGCGGCACAAAAGGGACGGAGTGCGCGCGCGCGTCGTCGCGCGCATGCTGCATTCTTCCAAGCTTCCACGCTCGCAAAAGTTTGAATCCGAGTGTCCCGGAATCAGATACAATAAACATATGGTTTCGCAACATCAGTTTCCAAAGAGACATGCGCTCGCGCTCTTGCGCATCTGTAACAGAACCGTCGGTTGTTCAATGTGTTCATGGAATTATGTCAAATAGGCCTGTCGCGCCGCATGCCGAAATCATTCGAACGATCCGTGTCAAATCATACCATGCGGCCGTCACTCTCGCGCGTCGGCCCCGCGCGCATGTCGAATTCCTTCCAAGACCTTCATCGCCGACGCGAGGGCGCCATCATCGTCGCCGGCGTAATCAGCATCGGCGTCGACAGTGGCCGCGCCGTCGTCGCTGTCGTCATCGTCACCAGCGTCGCTACGATCATCATCGCGTGTACCGTTGCCGAAGTTGCCATGATACCGCTCCCGCCCAAGTCGCCGGCTCGCACTGAAGTGCCCGCTGGGGCGCGCCCAGCAGTCAGCGCCACCGCGGCCGCGCCGGTCGCGCCAAGCAAGCTGGCCGCTGCGCGCGCATGCATGCGCTGGCTGGCGCGGCCGCGGAGATGCACCAGCCAATGCCAAGCACTCGTCGCAATCGCCGCCACATGGGTTTTACATGCAAAGTTTCGCACGCGTGGGCGGGATGATTGTGCGAGCAGTGGAGTTGCCAACTTCAAGTCGAGCATTGGTGAGTTTTCCTCTTGGAAAAAATCGATTCTACCCCGATCCCCCCAGTGGGATTACCGCTTCCCCTCTGGGGTATTGCAATTCACACATGATTTTGCCTCCGTCTTGATTTCCCGTTTAAAATCATACCATCCCAGCTAGTCCCGGCATCGGGCCCCCCTCGTCGTTGTCAAAAAATACCATGCGGTGCACATGCGTTGATCCAAAATGAATGCACGAATCGCAACGAAACAATACCATGCGGGCCACATGCGCGCGCGCAAGACGGAATCATTCCAAAACCTGTGTTTGCTTTGCCTTTTTTGGCGCAAACCGCAAACATCAATGGTTTCCCAACAAAATGTTCAGCATTTCATCCCGCGTGCTCTTGCGGATTCCTAGGAAACCCGATGTTTTTTTCCCTTTCCAAGGAAAAAATCGCGCGCGCATGTCGAACTGATTCCAATGTTCTCGCGCGCTTGCCAGAGGCATGATCCCTGTCAAATAAAACCATGCGGGGCAATGTCATCGCCATCATTGCCGTCGGAAGCGTCGTGATCATTCTCATCGTCGTTTGTCGACCCCGTCGTCCGCGTTGTCTCCCGCACGATGGACTTTGTCCGCGCGACGAGCGTCCCCGCGCCAATGAACACGATGAAATTATCGGAGGAGCTCTGCGCTGTAACCGTACTCGTGGCCTTATGAGTTTTGCCAACCACCTCATCGTCTTTTGTCGACGCTGTCGTCCGCGCTGTCTCGCGCAAGATGGACACTGCCCGCGCCACGAGGGTCCGCGTGCCAGTGAGTTCGATGAAATTTGTGGCCGAGCTCCACGCTGCAATTGCAGTCGCGACCTTGCGATTTTTGCCGACCCAGATGCGGGTGGTAGGGTGTTATGTTAGCACGAGCGTGAGAGGTGGTCACGCGCCGTGCAACGTGGTCAATTGCACCACGTAGGTTGCACCACACACGATGCACCACACCGCTGCGCCACATAAATTGCCCAAGTAGTTTGCACCACATAGTTTTCACCATATGTACATACACATTTATAGTTGTATAAGAATGTATGTATGCATTGGTCCACAGATGTTGCCCCAACTATATTGCACGACGTATATGTGTCACATAGATCAACACTGGCGAACACGATGTGTGCATGTGCGAATACGAGGTTGGGTGATGGATGCGTTGGTAGTGGGCTCGCGATAAACAGTGATAGCGACAAGTATCGTGCGACCACGCTGACTGGATAGCTGTCGAATACGACCCGACGCCCATCGCACACTCAAAGCTGCACACATCCCCCCCCCCAGTTTCCTTGTATCCCGAACGGTCGTTTAATCGGTATGCTGCGCGCGCCGTGTGGACACTCGTCCGTGCGCTTGTGTACCTGTGCGCGTGGTATTGTGGAGTTTCTGGAGGGCGAGGGTTAGTGGGGACTGCGCCGCGCCTGGGTGCGTCCGAACATGTGTGTGTGTGCGTGCGCACCGCAGGCTTGGCCCAAGCTATTTGGTCCCTGGGTGGTTCCAGAGCGGTGCGGCGCGGCAGCGCCCCTTTGACATTTGACAGGCGTTTATCTACCGCCGCCGCATCCCGCTCGTTCCCACAGTGTACTCGGTACACGTCATTAGTTAGGTCGGCATGGAGGGCCGCCGTCAGAAAGGTCGCATGGCGGGCGAGGCTCGCTCGGACCTCGCGTCAAGTTCGTCCTCATCGAAATCGAAGGCGAAGTCAAAGCCTTCCGGCCTGAAGCGCTCCCAGGGCTCCTCTGGCTCGCAGTCGCAGCTTGCGGAGATGGTCAACAAATTGTCCGTCACCAGCGGGAGTGGCTCGGCAAGGATGATCATGCGGGCCGCTCTGTGTTTGGGCATGGGCATGGCGCTCACAGCCAGCTACCACACCCCATGGTTTTTAATTCCCTTCGGGATTTGGCTCGAGGGAGCGTCGCTGTCGTGGCTGTCGCTCATCCAGAAGAGCTGCGCGGAGGGGCATTTCTTCCCGTCGAAGCAGCTGAACCTCTGGGTCGGGCGCGTGCTCCGGTGGGAGGTGCACATCGTGCTTGCCTTCGGCCTCTGGTTCGTCCAGGTTTGGACCTGGTGGTCGCTCCTAAAGTTTTGCCTCCTGCCCCTGCTGGTCATGCAGGCCGCGCTGGCGACGACAGGGTCCCGGGAGGCGCTTGAGAAATTCTCGAGCCAGGCCTCCGAACAGTCGTCGGGCACGGGCGTGAGGAGGAGCGCGTCGATGTCGTCCCTCGAGCTGCTCTTCCCCGAGCTGGAGGGTGCAGCGGGACAGATCAGCGACCTTTTAGATGTCGCGCAGCATGCAGACCCATCCTCGAGGGTGCAGCATGAAGGCGGAGATGGCAGCGATGACGACTGGCAATTCGGGGTGGCACTGCATTCGATCCCCATGTACCAGTTGCAGCGCCTCTCGAGAAATCTTACCAGCGAGCTGGCGACGGTGCGCCGCTCGGCCTCCGGGACGAGCCTGGCTGGGATGGCTGAGGCGGGTTCCGAGGAGAATCTCCGGAAGTCGATGCAGGCGCCAGGGTTCGAGCTAAACTTAAGTCGGGCCTGTCCCTCTACAGGAGGAATATTCAAAAATAATGAAAGAATAGTCTGGGGACAATTTTTTGGTTATTTTTGAGCATTTTTCTAGTATTTCGCGGGGTACCTTCAATTTTTCGTCCAGTTCAAAATCCCCCTGTAGGGGGACAGGCCCGACCTAAAGCTAAACAGTATTTTGGCGGTTTCGTGGACCGTGTTCGCTCGGATTTCGCTGCGCAGCAAGGGCGGCGCGAAGACAGAACAAGGGAAAACGAAACCAACACGAAAATGGAAAACATTGTTTAGGGCGAGCCCTGGCAGGCGTCGAAGTCCAAGTCAAAGTCTTCGAGAGCGAAGTCTGTGGAGCCCAGGACCCCATGGGATCGCTTGGTTCACACGGTTGGCAAGCCCGCGCGGTACTTGTTTCGCGAGATGTGGTTGTGGAGCGAGGGCGACATGGTGCTCTGGTTCGTCGTGGCGGTGTTCCTGCTGGAAGTGTACATCGGGTTCAGGTACTTTGCCTGGGCGCCCCTGGCTTTTCTGTACCCGATACTGGCCAGCTCCGCTGGCTCCCGCAAGGCCGCCGAGCTCCAGGAGGAGCTGGCGATCCATTTTGGCGTGGAGGGTAACAGCATCGCGCGCAGACTGAACGTGCCCGTCTTTCTACAGGTTCTGACTTGCCACAACGGAGCTATGTGGATGTTGGGAGTAATGCTGTTCTTCGGTGGTGTCGACCCGTGGACTGGGGCCATACCGAAGTGGCAAACGTTTGCTTTTGGGGCCTTCTTGTGGGTCGTCTCGATGGTGGGCGTTGTCGGCAGGAACCTCGTCTGGGCGTGCGGGTCGATGGAGTTGACTTTGCCCCAGAAGGTGTCGCTCATGCTGTGCTGCTCCGTCGCAAACCAAGGAAGCATCTTCCGCTGGTCGCGCGACCACCGTGCCCACTTGAAGAATCTGGGTACCAAGCTGGACCCGTACTACAGTGACCGGGGAAGTTTCTGGTCCTACATGGGTTGGGTAATCTTGCAGAAGACGCAGGACGCTCTGAAGGCTTCCAAGGATGTCGATGTGGCCGATCTCGTGTTGGATCAAGTCGTCATGTTTCAAGCTGATGTCGACGTGTGGTGGAATTTGTCTCTCTGCCACGCGGTCCCAGCTTTCATTACCATGCTCTGGGGCGAGGAGCTGTTCCTCGGCTGGATGATCTGCGGGTGCACTCGCTACGTCCTCGCTCTGCACGCCAATCTCCTCCTGGTCCAGTTCCAGCACCTCTGGGGCCCGACGACCGTCAAGGCAGAGCTGGGCCAGCTGGAGGCGCTGCCTCAGGAGACGCTGACCTTCGCTCGGCAGGTCTCCGAGGAGGCCGTGGAGACGCGGTCGCAGCCCAGCATGTGGCGCTCCGACACCAGCCTGGACCTGACCCAAGGTCCGCCACACAAAAACATACGCAGACACCCTCCGGTGGATTGTTCCTGGGTCTCATGGGGAGGTTCGCGGTGTACAAGTCTCCACTCAGAGCCCGCGATTTTATTCACCGGCACCTTCCCCTGAAGGCACAGGGAACACTCGTCGGCGGGTGTTCGTGTTATGTTCTCGTGGCGTGCAAGGGGTGACGAAAATCATTGGTGAGAACTTGGAGAGCGAGGATCAGCCTGACTCGAGCGGCCGCCCCCCACCGCTGAGCAAGCCCGAGGACTCGCAGCAGGAGGATTCCGGCCCTGTCTTTGTGAAGTACAACGTCAAGCAGGAGAGGGGGGTGCTAGAAGTGCCCCTGGTCCAAGGCGCCCCAGGGGTTTCCAAGGGGGCCCCTACGGCCTCCAGAGCACTCCTCACGAGGTCCAGAGAGCCCCAGGGGCTCCAAAATGGAGCGAAACGCTGGGGGCACCTTGGGCCAGGGGCACTTTTAGCAACCCCCGACAGGAGGGGGATGGCGACCCCTCGGTTGAGGTCAGGCTCGAGCCCCTCTGGCGCCGGAGCACGCTTGTTGACCTGGCCAAGGACTGCGTGGCTAATATCCTCGGCATCAAAGCCGATGCTGTAAAACCGGACCGACCTCTGATGGACCTCGGATTCGACTCCAGCGGCGCGCTCAAGCTGCGAGACAAATTGCAGCGGCGCCTCAAGGTGGACCTTCCGCCAACGCTACTCTTCAACTTCCCCACCATCAACGAGATGGTGGACCAGGGCCTCTCCACGCTGGCGCCACGCCCGACTACCCCGGCGGCCACTGCGGTAGCAAGGGAGAGGGCTGCACACCACACGCCGGACCTCGCTGTCGTGTCGACCGCCTGTCAGATCCCGTTCTCGTATGGCACCAGTGGTTATTGGGAGACGCTGTCGTCTCGGACGGATGCCGTCGTGGAGGTGCCCTTGGCTCGCTGGGACAATGAGCTCTACTACTCCTCCGAGCCGACGGAAGGCAAGACATACTGCCGCCACGCAGGCTTCATCGAAGGCGCCGATCTCTTCGACACCTCCTTCTTCGGCATGAGCAACGCAGAGGCCAGGGCGACCGACCCTCAGCAGCGGCTTCTGCTCCACACCGCGTACCAAGGACTCCAGGGCAACGGCTACGACAAGGCGACACTCGCAGGCTCGGAGCTCGGAGTGTTCGTCGCGCTCAGCAACTTGGACTGGTACCACATGTCTCTTTCGAAGCCGAGTGTGTTCACGGGCCCAGGCGTGGCCAGCTCCATCGCCGCGAACCGGGTGTCGTTCTCGTTCGGCCTCACCGGGCCGAGTATGACGGTCGACACAGCTTGCTCATCCTCCATCTCGGCCATGAGCGCGGCTATGCACTGCCTCGTCGGCGGAGGGGCGGTGCACGAGGCGCTGGTGGCGGCGACAGAGCTGCTGCACGGCCCGAACTCGTTCGTGCTGCGCTCGGTGGCAGGCATGCTCAGTGGAGCGGGTCGCTGCAAGACTTTCAACGCGACAGCGGACGGTTACATCAGGGGCGAGGGTGCGGGTGCTGGTGTGATCACGCACCTGCGAGACGCCGAAGATGGCCGTTGCACAGTGCTGGCGGACGTGAAGAGCGCGGTCATGAACCAGGACGGCAAGAGCGCGACGCTGACCGCCCCCAACGGCCCAGCGCAGGAGAAGGTCGTCTTGCAGGCGCTGCGCGATGGCGGCGTGGACTCTGCCTCGGTGGCCGCCATAGAGTGCCACGGCACAGGCACCGAGCTCGGCGACCCCATCGAGGTCGGCGCGCTCAAGGCGGTCCTGGGCACGCCGTCCGCGCATGCGCCTGAGCTCTATCTCTGCGCGGGGAAGTCTAATCACGGCCACTTGGAGGGCGCGGCGGGCTTTGCAGGTATGCTCAAGGTCTGGACGTGCCTACAGCACCTGCAGGTCACCCCGAACGTCCACTACGCGGCGCTCAACCCGCACATGAGCATCGACAACTCTCGGCTCGTTGTCCCAGAGTCGGTCTCGGCGTTGCCCGAGAAGGGGACGATCATGGGTGTCTCATCTTTTGGCTTCGGCGGCACCAACGCACACGCTATGATGGCGCAACCGAAATCGAGCGGCCCACAGCAGCCTATCGAGCACAAGATCGCGTTCCTCTTTACTGGCATGGGCTCTCAACAGGTCGACATGGGCAAGCGCCTCTACAAGACGAACGAGGTCTTCCGGTCGGCGCTGGACCAGTGTCGGGACATTTGCAAGGATCTGTCTCTTCTGCAGGAGAATTTGCTGGACGTCATGTTCCCCGAGGACAGGGAGATGGCGACCAAGCTCGAGACAACCTTGTATTCGCAAGTGGCGATCTTCTCCCTGGAGTACGCCCTCGGCAAGATGTGGAGCGCCCAGGGCATCGTCCCATACGCGGTGATGGGGCACAGCGTCGGCGAGTTCGCCGCGGCGGTGTACGCAGGAGTGATGTCGGTGGAGGACGGCCTGCGCCTGATGGCCGCCCGCGGCCACTTGACCGAGAAGCTGGTCGATCAGGACGCTGGCTGCATGACCTCGATCTTCGCCTCCTGGGGCGTCGTCCAAGCTGCCATCGAGCAGGCCGATCTGAAGGGCGGCGTCGCCGTGATTGCAGCCATCAACGGCCCGTCCGCGACCATGGTTTCTGGCACCAAGGCCGCTGTGGCCTCCGTATGCGAGAACGTGAAGGCGAACCACGTCACCATCAGCACTCGGCATGCGTTCCACTCCCCGCTCCTGGAGCCGATCTTGCCAGAGCTGCGCGAGGCGGTCGCGAGCTGCAAGCTGAGCCCCCCGACGGCCTGCAAGATGGTCTCGATACTGTCGGGCAGCGAGGAAAAGGACAAGTTTGCCACCGCGGCGCACTGGGTGGGGCATGACGAGCCTCGCCCGATGCTTTTCCTGCAGGGCATGGAGACGCTTGAGAGGATGGGGTGCACCGCCTTCGTGGAGATCGGCCCGCAGCCCGTGCTCGTAAAGATGGGCCGCCGTTGTGTGGGCGAGCGAGCGGACGGGTTCGAGTGGCTGGCAAGCATCCAGCCGGGGCGTGACGACGTTCAGGAGGTGCTGCGCGTACGCAGGGCCCTCGGCGCCACTGCGGGTGCCGGGCCCTCCGAGCTGAAGCCCGTAGCCATGCCGTGGCGTGCCCCGTTGCTGCATCCGTTGCTGGGCGCACCTGTGCAGGAGGGCGGGGCCACGTCGTTCAGCTCTGACGCCCCGCTGAGCTCGGGCCCGGCCATGCAGCTCTTCCAGCAGCACTGCGTGTTCGGGGAGGTCGTGCTGCCCGGCGCCAGCCACATCCTCCTTGCGGCGGCTGCCCGCTTGGTGATATCTGGGGGCTTCTGCGCGGAGGTCACGGACGCGGTCTTCGAGCGCCCGTTCCTGGTACCAGAAGACGGTGGCGTACGGCTGCACTGCCGGGTGTCCGAGGATGGCACAGAGGTCTCGAGCTCACCGAAGGATGGCGACGTGACCGTCCACGCCCGCTTTGGACAGTCGAGGGTCATTGGGCTCCCCGCCAGCGAGGCAGACCATCTTCCGGAGATGAGGAAATTATGTGGCGAGCCCTCGCCCGATTGCATCAAGGATTTATACGCAAGTTTCGACGAGCGTGGGTTGGGCTATGGGCCGTCCTTCCAGGTGCTTCGAGAATGCGCATTTAGCAAGGACGGCGCTGTAGCGCGCCTGGGCCATGAGACGACGCTCTGGGAGCGCTGCCTGCAGCTGCTGCACCCCGCGCTGCTCGACGGCGCGCTGCAGCTGCTGGTGGAGAGTGCGTCGCGCCAGTCGGAGACGCCCGCGACGTACCTGCCCTTCGCAGTCAAGCGCGCGGTCGTTGCGGCCAACTGCCCTTCGGGCGAGCTGTGGGCCACCGTGAGGATCCTGGAGTCGACGGCTACGTCTCTCACAGCGAACGTGGAGGTTGTCAGCGCGGACGGGAAGCTCGCGTGCCGCTTGGAGGGCGCGAGCTGCCGCCGTGCCGAGGGCAAGCCCCAGGAGGCGGACGGCTCCGAGGGGTGCTTGTACAGCCGCGAGTGGATCCCCGCGCCGCAGGTTGCCGGCGGCGCGCACGGCAAGGTGCTCGTTGTCAGCGGCCGCTCAGACGCCATCCAGGCGGTGTTGGGACTCGACTCGGCCAAGTGCGCGGCGGCCGCCACCATCGAGGACGCCCTGAAGAAGGTCGACGGCGAGTTGGCCACCATCGTGCTGGAGGCCGCTGGTGAGCAGGTGGACGCGCTGGACAGCATGCTGAGGCTAGTGCAGGCCGTCACGAGCACGGACGGCGACCTGCCCCGTGTGGTCCTTGTCACGACCAGTGCTCAAGCCGTGAAGGCTGGAGTGGACGTGGACCCGGAGCACTCCGGCATCTGGGGCTTCGCGCGGGCGCTTCGGCTGGAGATCACGAGCTTGCCGGTCACCTGCGTAGATCTGTCGGGCGGCTCAGACGCGGGCGCCGTCACGAGCGCCTTGCTGGCGTCCGAGGCCGAGCTCGGCGTGCGCGGCGGCGAGGCGCTGACGTCGCGGCTGGCACGCAGCGACGTGGTCCCCAAGAGGCCCCTCCGCCTGCAGATGGCTCGCCGCGGCAGCCTGCAGAATCTGAGGCCGGTGCCCCAGACCGAGCGCAAGGCACCGTCTGCTGGCGACATCGAGGTGCGGGTGAAGGCCATTGGCCTGAATTTCCGCGACGTCCTGAACGTGATGGGCTTGTACCCCGGCGACCCGGGCGAGCCAGGCCTCGATTGCTCTGGCACAGTGGTCAACATGGGCGAGGGTCTCGAGAAGAACGAGCTCCGCTGCGGCGACACCTCTGTGGGCATCGTGTGGGGCTGCCTGAAGACGTACGCGTCCACGAAAGCGCAGCTGCTGGTGCCGCAACCCGACACCTGGACCCCGGCCGATGCGGCGGCGCTGCCCACGGTCTACACGACGGTGGACGTGGCCTTCCGGGAGTTGGCGAAGCTCAAAAAGGGCGAGCGCGTGCTTATCCACGCGGCGACGGGCGGCGTTGGCCTCGTTGCCGTGCAATACGCCCAGCGCATGGGCGCGATTGTGTACGCCACAGCAGGCAAAAAGGAGAAGCAGGACCACCTGCGCGGGCTCGGTGTGCAGTACATCACCAGCTCTCGGAACGACGACGAGTTCGAGGCCGACATGCTTAAGTTCCTCGGAAAGGAGAAGATCGACGTCTGCCTCAACAGCATGAGTCACCTCGGTTTCATCCCACGCTCACTTCGCCTGCTCAAGAAGGGCGGTCGCTTCGTCGAGATTGGGAAACGAGACGTTTGGACCGTGGAAGAGGTGAAGAAAGAGTTCCCTACGGTCGACTACCACCTGCTCGCCATCGACTACGTCTGCGAGTTCGAGCCGGACAGGTACCAGGGGCTCCTCAAGCGACTCCAGAATGAGCTCCAGGGCGGGTCCTGGAAGCCATTGCCCGTGACGTGCTACGAGGGCCTGGAGACTGGAGTTGCCGCGATGTCGTTCCTGCAGAGGGCAGCGCAGATTGGCAAGGTGGTCCTTACAGCGCCGCCCCGCATGGGGCTGAAGCCTGCGGCCGGCTACGTGCTCTCCGGCGGCATGGGTGCGCTGGGTGTCGTCACGGCGCAGGCCATGGCCGAGGAGGGCGCCAAGTGCATGGTGCTCCTGTCCCGCAGCGGAAAAGCCGCCGCTGAGGTCGAGTCGCAATGGAAGTGGTTGCAGGCCTCAAGCGCGGACGTCCTGGCATGGAAGTGCGATATCGGCGACGCCAAGAGCGCTGAGTCGTTGAAGAAGCAACTGAAGGCGGACCTCAAAAACCCTGTGCACGGTGCCTTGCACCTTGCTGGCATTCTCGACGACGCCCTCGTGCCTCAGCTGACCCGCGGCCACTTCGAGAGGGGCTTCGCGCCCAAGGTGGGCGGGGCGCGCCATCTGCACAACGCGTTGGCGGGCGCGCCCCTGGATTTCCTGGTCGTCTACTCCTCGACCGCGGCGTTGCTCGGCGCGGCGGGCCAGGCGAACTACTCATCGGCCAACGCCTGCCTGGACGGGCTTGCCCAGCACTGGCGGCATGAAGGGCAGCCGGCACAGAGCGTGCAATGGGGCCCCTGGCTCTCCGTGGGCATGGCCGCGCAGAACAACTCGTTCCAGCGCCTGAAGCTGGGTGGCATCAGCAACGAGCTCGGGCTGTCAGTGCTGTCGGCCGCGCTCGACCCCGCCGCAGGCGGCCCCGTGCTGGGCTGCGCGCTGGTCCAGTGGCCTGGCTACCTGAAGCAGTTCCCCAACGTGCCATCCTACTTCTCCAAGTTCAGGGGTTCCAGCGTTGCCGCGTCTGGTGGGCAGGCTGGCGCTGGCACTGGCGCCGAGGCCGCCACGATGAGCCCCGAGAGCGTCGTGACGTGGATCAGCTCGGTGGCCGCCGACGTCGTCGGCTCCGAGGTGGCGCTCGACGAGCCGCTCATGGCAGCGGGCATGGACTCTCTCTCCTCGGTGGAGTTCCGGAACCGGCTGTCCGCGGAGTGCAACTTCATGAAGTTCCCGAACACACTCATGTTCGACCACCCGACGCTGCGCGCAGTGTCCGCGCTGGTCACCGACTCTCTGGCGCCCATTGCAGCCGACACGGCGGCGCCTGCGACCGCCGCCCCGAAGTCGGCGGGCGACATGCGGGTTGTCTCCCGTGGGCTCGCGTGCAGGTTCCCTGGCGGCGACGGCGTCGAAGAGGGCTGGAGCCGATGGGTGAAGAAGACGGACTCCGTCATCGAGATCCCTTATATGCGATGGGACGTGCTCGAGTACTTCAACCCCGACCAGGACGCCGGCGGCAACTTCATGTATGCCCGGCACGGCGGCTTCGTCGAGGGCGCCGAGCTCTTCGACGCGCAGCACTTCGGCATGTCCGGAGCAGAGGCCAAGACCATCGACCCGCAGCAGCGCTTCTGCCTCGAGGTCGCCTTCTGGGCCTGCCACTCTGCAGGCGTGGACAAGGGCCAGCTGCTCGGCTCGAACACGGGGGTTTTCGTCGGCCAGTGCAACCACGACTGGGCCAAGTCCTCCACGGAGCGCGGGGCCAATCCGTACACAGGTCCAGGCACCCACGGCTCGATCACCTCCAATCGCGTGTCTTACAGCCTCGGGCTGAGGGGGCCCAGCGCCTCGGTGGACACCGCGTGCTCCTCCTCGCTGGTGGCGCTGGATATTGCGGCGAACAAGGTGCATGTGGACCTCCCTTTCGCGCTCTGCGTGGGCGTGCAGCTCAACCTCATACCCGAGCCCTTCATCGCATTCAGCAAGGCCCGCATGCTCTCGCCGGACGGCCGCTGCAAGACCTTCGACGACTCCGCCAACGGCTACGCGCGCGGCGAGGGTTGCGGCGCGCTGCACATGGAAGCGGCGAGGAACCTCACGGACAGCACCCTGCCCGAGGTCGGTTCCACGATGACTAACCAGGATGGCCGCAGCTCCACCCTCACGGCGCCGAATGGCCCCGCGCAGCAGGAGGTGGTGCGCAGGGCGCTGCAGCAAGCGGGCGTGGCGGCCTCCCTCGTGAACTACGTCGAGTGCCACGGGACTGGCACTGCGCTGGGCGACCCCATCGAGGTTGGGGCGTTGAAGGGCGTCTTGAGCGCGGGCCGCAGCTCTCCCGTGGTGCTGGGCACGGTCAAGACCAACATAGGGCATCTCGAGGGCGCCGCGGGCATCGCGGGCTTGGTCAAGTGCATGCAGACTTTGGTGCACCGCGAGGCGCCCCCGAATGTGCACTTCGGGAAGTTGAACCACACGATCGAGCTGGACGATTTCCAAGTGATCGTCCCCACCTCCATGACGCCCCTGGAGGGCACGGATCTCTCCGCTGGCCTGTCGTCCTTCGGCTTTGGAGGCACCAACGCGCACGTGATCTTCAAGCATTCGACCCAGGCAACGAAGAAGGCTAGCACAACCGAGGGAGCTAGCGTGCGCCAAGTAGGCTTCCTGTTCACTGGTCAAGGCTCTCAGTACGTCGGCATGGGCAAGCAGCTCTACGGGGCGGACGCCACATTCCGCACGACGCTCGACGCGTGCGCAAAGCTGCTGGATCCTTTGCTCAAGGTCCCACTGCTCGAGGTGATGTTCGAGGAGAAAGCAGAGCAAAAGGGTCTCCTTGACCAGACCGAGTACTCGCAGCCAGCCATATTCTCGGTGGAGGTATCCTTGGCGGCGATGTGGAAGGCCAAGGGCGTCCAGCCAAGCGCGGTCCTGGGCCACAGCGTCGGCGAGTATGCCGCTGCGGTCGCCACTGGCGTAATGTCCCTCGAGGATGCCGCGAGGCTCATCGCCGCCCGAGGGCGCCTCATCCAGGAAAAGTGTGAGGCCGGTGTCGGTGGCATGGTAGCAGTCTTCGCGCCAGAGGAGGCAGTGAATGAGGCGATCGGGTCACTGACGAAGAAGGAGAAGCAGGACGTGGCGATCGCTGGCGTAAACGGCCCCAAGCTGTGCGTGGTGTCCGGCAGGAGCAAGACGGTGACCAAGGTGGTCGAGGCCACTGGCGCTGGGAACAGGGCCCTGAACGTTTCGCACGGCTTCCACTCCCCCCTGATGGCCCCGATGTTGGCCGCGTTCAGGCAGGAGGTGTCCAAGGTCAATCTTTCTGAGCCGAAGGGCTGCCGCTTCGTATCCACGGTCACCGGCAAGGAGGTGTCGAAGGAGTTGAGCGACCCAGAGTACTGGGTGAACCACGTAGAGCGCACGGTGCGCTTCGCCGACGGCATGGCCGCGTTGGAGGCCACCAGCTTGGACGTGTTCTTGGAAGTGGGGCCAGAACCCACGCTCGTGAAGATGGGCAAGCGCTGCGTGCAGAGCGACAAGAGCTACGACTGGCTTTCCTCCCTGGAGGCTAGGGACGGCGCCGGCACAGACGAGCAGTCGGTGGCAGAGGCCGAGGCTGTGATTCGCGGCGGACTGGCGCCCTTAAAGTACAAGAGGTCACCATTCCCCTGGCGCGACGCTGGGCCACGAATGTTGCGCAGGCGCGGTGGGAACGACAAGGAGGTGCACTTCGACGTCCCCGTGCGCTCGGACCTCTTCGCAGTGGCTGGGGAGCACGTCGTCTACAGTGAGATCGTCGTGCCTGGCGTGGTGTTCGTGGAGATGGCCACGGAGGCTACCAGGGCGCATTTGGGCGACGGAGTTCAGCTGAGGGACGTGCAGATGGTGTGGCCGCTGGTGGTGCCCAAAGACGGGGACTGCGACGACAAGCAGACCTGGATGCGCCTGGCCATCATCGGCAACAAGAAGTTCGAACTCCGCAGCCAGGGCCCTGGCGACGACAAATGGACCGTGCATTGCGAGGGCAAGATTACTATCTCCTCCGAGACACCAGCACAGCCGGAGGACGAGGCGGTGGTCCGCGCGCGCTGTCCAGAGTCTGTGGATTCTGCCAAGTTGTACCCCTTAGTGGACAGCACCGGGCTCTGGCTCGGACCCAAATTCCAAGTCATCAGTGGCATGGTGCGGAGCAAGGACGAGATCTCGTGCAGGATGCAGTTGGCCCCAGACGTCACCAATGTCGGCTACGTCATCCACCCCTCGCTGTTCGATGGCACGATCCACGCAGTCTGTGCCACGATGTTCGACCAGGACTGGTGTAGTAAGACCTTTTGGTGTGATTGCCTTCCAGAATTCAAGGCCCCAATGTAACTGGATGTGTAAGCTGTTATTCGACATGCGTGCTTCGACGCAAGCGTACAATAGTTCGCAAAGGTACTACAAACCACAGTTCGTCCCTCCTGAACTATTAACTTTGAGCTCGCCATTTTCACACGAAGCAGAATCATGACCGACACAAGCAAATCACTTTGCTTACACGCCTACTCTTCAAAATAGCGATTTCGCGATCGGACCATCGATCGAATGAAGGGAGGAAGAGTAGATGTTAGGAAAGGTTTGATAATGGAAGGCAAGCTAACGGTGTTGCTTTGGGGCGTATCGGTGGGGGATTTGTGATTTGCGATTTGGTTCTGCGTATTGCCCTACATTTGCATTGATGTTCGATGTTCGTGGCATGACCTCGACATGTAGTCTGGTACCGATGCGTCGGTCATTGTCACATCTCCAAATGAAGGGAGGTAAGTGGATGGGCAAAGGGGTGGAATCCGCCACGAAGGGTGCGACGAGGGGTTGGAGCTTCGATTGGGAACAGAGGGCCGAACGCGGGGGAGACCCGCATGAATCCAATACATGATGCAGGCGGAAAATAGGCAATAGGCCGTGCGTGCCACGACCTTCGGCCATCATATTCGGATTGGAGGAGCAATGAACGGGGCCTATTCGTTGCTCCCCATTCCTCTGTCAGGGCGTCTGGCTTCTATCTGAAGGGCTTCGCCCCCCGCCGCTGGCCGCCCTGTTTGATTGCTGCGCGGCTAGGTTGGTTGGTTGGTTGGTGGAGTTGATTGGCTGATTGGCAAATTTGTTGGCAGGTTTGTGTCTCGCCTTTTTGCGGGCGTAGCCCGAATTTTCTCGCGAGGTAAACTGACCGAATTGAACTGAAATGAACTGAACAGACAGGTTGCGCCCGTTACGAAACGGCTTTGTTCTCGGCCGCCGAAGGCGCAACTTATAGCGCAACCGATAGGACACGGTTTTATTCTTGGCCGCCGAGTTCCGTAGCCATGTTGGCTCAAGGCGATGCCTTCCCCTGGGAAGGAAGCGGGTATCGCTAGTCCACGGCTAGCCCCGAAAGCTTTTGCTAGACGGACGTATGGCCTACTCGCCCGCTGTGTCCTCGCTCTCCGAATGCTGTTGCCTCGGCCATGGCGACGTACTGGAGGTGTGGATGTGGCGAGTATAATACCAAGGGGCGAAAGCAGAATGGTGGATGTGGACAGTCGCGTGCTGCTCTTCAGCCCTGGCGTGTCGGTGGGCCGAACGGAGCCGACAACTGGGCCAAGGAGCTGCGGCAGCGTGCATGGAAAAACTGGCCCACGCCTGGAGGCCGACCGCAGCAGCAAGTTTCGGCGGGCGCGTCCCTCAGTCCTAAGGGGATCCAGACTTGGGCAGCGCTCCCCGCAGGCACCTACGAGAAGACCAAGGTAGCGCTCTCCATCTCCTCTCGCCGGAAAGTTGACAGCGCTCGGCGCGCTGCTGCTGCTGGTGTACTCGGGGCTGCAGGGCGAGAAGCTCCTCAGGCGGTGGACAAGGCCGCGAGGGCGGTGCAGACGGCGAAGGACAAGCTCGCCTCGAACAAAGACAATGCGCTTAAGCTCCTGGCGACCATCGCGGAGCAGGAGGCCGACATGGCTAGGTTGGAGGAAGAACTGGCGAACGCAAAGCAGGAGGCCGCCAAGCTCTACGGTGCCAAGCAGCGGGACCAGGGCATTGACGGCAAGAAGCTGCGCGACTTCCTCGGCACGCTGGAGGTCGACGGTTTGTCCCCTGGCGGAGTCGCGCAGGCCCTGCCCACGGCCATCGCCAATCTCGAGGAGACAAGCAAGAACGCAAGGCAGCCATCAGCTGGAGATGCGCCACCAGCGCCTGCCGTCCATCCTGGAAGAGGAGGTGTCCCTGGAGACGGAACCGCTGCGGAGGCACCGCCCGAAGAGGCCCTCGACACCTTCATGGCCCAGGCTGGTCCTGGTGGCCTGCTGGGGGCTTGCGCCGATGACGCCAAGCGCAAGCGCATCGCAGACGCCCTGGAGACCCTCCGCGCCGTCAATAAGCCCAAGCGCGGGCAGTCTCCTGGGCAAGGGTCGCAAGCGGCGTTGGTGGAACGCCTTGACCATCAACGCCAACGCCTACAGCAGGTTTGAGGCTCTTCTCCAGACGAATGACATTCTCAACGTGGACTTTATCGGCGCGCAGGGGACTCATCTCAGCGACGAGAGGTGCAAGGAGGTCTCCAACAAGCTCAAGCGAGACGGATGGCATGCCCTCGCGGCACCGGCGGCTGGCGTTCAGCAGCAGCAGCGAGGGCACGGAGAGCTGCTTAAGCTAACTCCGCGAGTGCATGGGCTCGGGGCTTTCTTGCGAAAGGGCGACTGCATGCTTTCCAGGGCGTGCTTCTATCGCCCACTTCGCTGGCGCGGTCCCAGGCGGGATCGCGCGGGTTAACGTGTACCTCAAGGTCAACGAGGGCATGTCGGAATTCGATTTCCAGGAGCTGAAGGCCATCTACAGCCTGGTCAAGATGCTGGGGAAGCCAGTCATCATCGGAGGCGACCTCAACATAGAGCCGCGCGAGCTAGCGCAGTCGGGCTTCCTGGGGGTGCTCAAGCTGAAGATCATCGCCTCCGGCGAGGGCACGTGTCGCCCAGGAGGGCGCATCATCGACTACTGGTTGGTCAGCGCCGACTTCGGCACGGCCCACGCGAAGGTGCTGCACGGCTGGAACGTGGCGCCGCACTGCCCCGTCCAGCTCACGGTTGACGGCGCTGCGGTGGCGAGGCGCATGCAGGTCATGGGCAGCCCGGAGCGATTCACGTTTCCTACTCTGTCGGCATGCTTCGCCGAGGGGCACGAGGGCCTCTGGATCGCCGCCCGTGCCGCTATGGGTGCCACTTCCAATGTCAACGCGAAGTGGCAGCTCTTCATGTACCAGGCAGAGTGGAACATAGCTGACGCCATGGGGCTAGCGTTCGAGCACCGCAAGTACAGCGGGAGAGCGCAACGGCTTGCGCTCGAGAGGGCTAAGGTCGCCATTCCGAGCCCTCCGCGACTTCCAGAAGTCAGCAAGGGCACCTTGTGGATCAAGAGCATGGCCATCGCTTTAAAAGGACACGGCGCAGGTGGCCTTCCCGCCCAGACGCATTCGAGCCCCGAGGGCGGCGCGCTACCTGCCACGGCAGCGCGAGACCAACAGGGGCGACATCTCCAAGGGCCGCGAGCACATCACGAGCACCCTCGCCGCCATCAGCAAGCTGATCGACTCGCCCGACGCCGGCGCGCTGCAGGTCATCAGCTCCCACGCCAATGCCGAGGCGGACGCTCCGATCGAGAGCGAGATGGAGCGCGGGAAGCGGGGGTGCAACGACTGGGTCCTCGAGAACCGCGCCAAGGGTTCGGGGGCCCCCCACGCCCTCACCAAGCCCCCCCATGGGCTGGGTCCCTCGACCGCTCGGCGGCGGTCAAGACGGCCCCCCTCCCTCGCTGCAGGAGGCCGTCGCTGCTCTCGTCAAGGAGTGGTCGGGGCACTGGGGGTCGGGGGCTCCCAAGCGCAACGGGGGCGACGCAGCGCTCGGCGGCGTCAGCTGGCCCGAGCAACTAGGGGGGCGACCTCCGCGACCCAAGGCCGAGGCGACCAGGAAGGTCATCGGCAGTTTCAAGGAGGCCACGGGCCCTTCCTTCGACCTCATCGCGGCATCGTGGAGCGGCGCGAGTGGCCCGACTTCATCGCCAAGATTGCCTTCAGTCCGAAGACACCCAGAGGCCTGCGCCCCATCGCCTTGCCGAGCGCCCTGGTCCGCATCCACGGCAGGCTTCGCAGGCCCATCGCCAAGAAGTGGGAGGAGGGCAACCCGCGCAGCAATTGGCGGGCTAGCTCGGGACGCAGCTGCGACAGGGCCGCGCGGCAGCAGCAGGCGCGCGCTGAGTGGGTGCACATGCTCAGCCAGGTAAAATCGCAGCAGAACTGGGGTTCGGCCTCCATCCTCGACCTGTGGAAGGCCTGCGAGCATATCATGCACCGCGAGCTCCCCCACGCGCGTCAGAAGTACAACTTCCTTCTATGGCTGGCCAAGCTGCAGATCAACCTCCACCGCGCGCCGAGGGTGGTCAGCCTGGAAGGGTGCTGCGCGAACGAGTTGCACGTCCTGCAGACGGCCCTTGCGGGAGACGCCTTCGCCACCACCTGCGTGAAGATAATGCTCATCGGGCCGCTGGGCGCACTCCACCTCAGGGCAGCAACTGCGGTGCCAGCGGCGGTGGTCGACGACCTGGTTCTCCGGCGGTGGGGAGGCAACGACAAAGTCGAGCTGGACCTGATCCAGGGCACCAAGCTCCTGGTTAAGGAGCTCGCCAAGACGAAGCTCAAGGTCGCCGCGAAGAAGCCGAGGGCCCTGGCCTCCAGCGCAAAGCTTCGCAAGCGCATCCAGGACAGGCTGTTCCAGAGTGCAGGAGTAATCGGAGCCTCCCACGCTCGCAACCTGGGCGTGGACCGCACGGCGGCTGGCAAGCGCAGCACCGAGGCCAGGAAGGCGAGGCTTAAGCAGGCTCGTGAGCGACTCCCACGGCTGCGGCGACTTGCTGGGACTTCGGCGAGGACGGCAAGCGGCAGCAAGGGTTGCCTACGCGGGCATCGCCCCCAGTGTCGCGCACGGCACCTCCTGCACAGGCATGTCCGACTACGAGCTGAAGCAGACGCGGGCCTTGGTCTTCAAGGCGGCGCAGCCTCGCCCGCAGGGCGAGTCTACCACAGCTTGAATTCTGTTCGGTGGCCGAAGGAGATCGACCCCATCTTCACCGCCACGCTGGCGCCAGCGCGCGCCCTGTCCAGGGCCATCTGGGAGCGCTGGTCGCCGCTCAACACACTCAAGAACACCTTCAACCACTTCAAGGGCATCGAGCAGTGGGCGCAGGTGAGGGGCCTGCCGGGAGCAGCCATCGGTTTCCTCAAGCGCGTTGGTTACCAGATCCAAGACGCCGAG